AGTGGGGATTGCATCATAGTTGTTGGCTGGGAGGGAGGAATTACAACATAGTTGTTGGGAGCAGCGGATCATCTCGTGCCCAAGTTCTTTTCCTTTGGACTTAATGGGATTGCTTATAAAGAAGCATCTTAGGAATGCCGTTAGAATATCTGTGTTATGTATTATATCTGTTACATATATACTTTGGTACTCAAGTCAGACTGCGCCTCTAGAATGTATCCTTATATTATATTATATTTATAGTATTATATTATACTATACTGTATTATATTATATAAATACAATCATATTTGTATATGTTAACATGAGGTGAAGTTGGGTAAATTTGTAAGCATTAAAAAATGAATGGTTCATGAAATAATACTTTATATATTATTTGCACATGGAACATGAAAATTCCATATTGAGAGAGTCCCATAAAAAAGACTTAAGATAGCAAGGCATGACAAGAAAGCAATTTGTTAGAAGCAGACAAGGCTGGCTATCAGAGCTATGAAATGGTGAACTAGTTGCCGTTCCAGTCTAGAATCACCCTTCGGGACCGAAATAGCAATCGAAATGACCTCAAATAGTTTGAGCAGCTGGTCTGAATAATGATATGCATAATAGTAGTATATTATTACATGTAATAAATACTACACTTAGTATTAATAATTGCAATACTACTAGTAGTTATTATTTTGGTGGTATACACATCTCAATGTTTTGGCCTCAATACGTGGACACAAATATCCATGCGGAGACTGAAATCCCATTTGCAAACTACATCCAAATTGCGGAAATGGCTGGTATCCATGAAATTGAGTTTCCCGTAGACCTATTTCTAGGAAATAGAAGGGACCCTTAGAGTTTTATGAGGGGAATTTTTGTAAAATGAAATACGGATGGTTTTTGAGTATAAAAAGTACTTTTTTCGAGAGAGAAAGGCTTTGGCAATTCTCTCTCTTCTCGCACTCTCCCTGAACTGAAAGAAAAACTAGGATTTGGGCCAAAATCTTTGAAGTAATTAAGTCTATTTGATATTTTTTTTGGTTCATTTGTTTTGGGTCTAAAATAGTAAAGAAAAATTGAAAACTTTCAATTTTTCTTTATTAAGACTTTTACACTATAGAACTCTTCTTTTTACCCCAAATAATAATGGGTTGTTTCTTGCATTCATTTGAAATATTCTTAATTTTTTTTGGCTTTAATAGTTTAATGTCGTAGGTATTTTCTTGTTTTGTCGATTTTGTGAATTTTTGTGTAAATGTGTTTTTTATTTCTATTTTCAATCTATTTTGTTTTATTTTTGGTTGTTTGATACTCTCTTTTTTTTTTTTGGTATTTTTCAGATCGTTCTTAGTTTCAATATTGATGTGGAGTTGAGGTATTGTGGCTTTGTGTTATGTTTTGACCTTTTGCTTTATTACTTCATTAGTTCATTTCATAGTTGTTGGAAATGCCTAGGAACACGAATCGTTTTAGGAACCTGAGTCGTTTTAGAAATCGGAATCACAGAATCCCGACCGGCTAGAAGATTCTTATCTTAGGAATCGTTGTCCATACAATAAGAATCGCTAGGACCGAAATTCCTAGTTTCTGAGAATCGTGTTTTGACCAAAATAGATATAAGTTTCATCCACATATGGGATCGAGATTCTGTCCTCCTTGGAATCGAGATTCCCATCCCCCTGGAATCAACACTCTAGGAGTCAAGATTTATTAATATGCAGAATCGAGTTTCCGACATTTATGGAATCGAGTTTCTAACATATGTGGAACATAGATATGTTGCTGTTCTGAATCGTGATTCTAACATATTTGGAATCAAGTTTTTGAAGTATATGGATCAGAGATCCATGCCAGTTTGACATCGAGATTTACAATAATATGGACTATGGAATGCGATTGATGACCCCTATCAGGAAACCAATGTTTTAAAAAACGGTCCACCTGGTGCCTAGGAGCCTGCCTAGGCGGCCTGGACAAAAAATTTGCACTCCTCAACCCAGGCGGCCCTACACGAGCGGATGTACTTGGGCGGGCGGTAGGGCGGGTGGCAAGGCGGGTGCTAGGCGAGTTAGGGAGGCGCCCATGCCCGTAGAGCCTTTTTCATTTTTTTAAATCGCCCAAAAGGACAAAGGGGGTCATTTTGATCCCGAAGGTTATATAAAAACATTATGAGGTTTAGTTTTAACCCCCAAAGTAAAAAAGAAAAAAAAAAAACCCTCAATATATGAAAACCCCCAAAGTGAAAAACTATAGGGCACCCGAGGTTCTGGGCGCCCCGCTTAGGCACTAGGCGCCAGGCAGGCCGCCTAGCATTTTTTGAAACCTTGTAGGAAACAAGATTTCATTTTTTTATGGAGAAGGAAGTTGGATGTCCCTTACTAGATGGTTTCCCAAATTTTAAAGTGATTATGTTGACTATTGAACTTACGATCATTATACACAAAAGAAAAGACAAGTATTTGTAAATCGTTATTTTGGCTTCATTATTATAAAGACAAAATGGAATTATGTCTACGCCATGGTTTTATTTTTAATTGTAGGTGTTGTATTTACCAGTTATATTTTAAGTTTAAAATAATGGCCATATAGGGTGCCACAAGTAAAATAATGAAACCTTGCAACCACTAGAGCATTCGAAGGAAGATTTTTGCTCCAATTGACGTGGAATCAAGATTTAATTCTCGTTGGAATCCAGATTCGATATATTTAGGAACGTCTACCCACAATTAATAGGTTCAAGTTTCTAAAGATATGTTGGATTGAGATTTCGAAATTAAAGAATTGAGTTTCCTTGGTTCTGATAGATGTTTTCTAAAGATATGTCAAATTGAGATTCCGAAATTAAGGAATCGAGTTTCCTTCGATGCAAAAAATTGTTTCCGTAGAAATTCCTTAACGGAAACTTGGAATCGGGTTTCGTAAGCTGTAACACGAGGTTGGTGGAGAGATTCCGGTAACTATAGTTGATTTTCATTGGTATTGCTTGATGTCCTATTGGGGTATATCATGAGATGGAATTATGGAGGATAATTTTGCTTTTGGAACATTGCATATAGCCTCCTACCTCAAAGATCCTTCTCATACGTCCCGATAAATGTTTTCTAAAGATATGTCGAATCGAGATTCTGAAATTAAGGAATCGAGTTTTCTTGGATACAAAAAATTGTTTCCGTAGAGATTACTTAACGGAAATGTGGAATCCGGTTTCGTAACCAGTAACACGAGGTCGATGGAGAGATTCCGGTAACTATGGTTGATTTTCATTGGTATTGCTTGATGGCCTATTGGGGTACATCATGATGGAATTATGGAGGATAATTTTGCTTTTAGAACATTGCATATAGCCTCCTACCTCAAAGATCCTTCTCATACGTCCCCCGACCAAATTTCTATTTCACACCAAATCCTTGGCACTGTTTTTCCTCACATCTGTCCACCATCCCCATGCATTATAAAAAAACAAAAAAAGTGAAAATTTAGGCAATCTAGAAGAAAATGTTGTCAAGTCGGTTTGGCACTCCCATTACCGAACCGAGCATGGGTGACACAAAATAAAATATAAAAGAGGACCAAAGTTATTTCGGTGCTTGGAGTGCTGAAGCAACCTCGGGTAAGGAAAGAACTTCAGTTCGGCACTCCAAGTACCAAACCTACGTGAGGGCTTTTTTTTCTTCAATTGTATAAAAACGTAACTCTGCGGTTAGATAAAAAGAATAACAATGCCAAGGGATTGTCTATGAAAATATTTTAGTGGGGAGTCCTACAGGTAGGATGTTTTAAGCATCCGGGTCTATGTAATTTTCCCTTTTATTTTCATTCCTAATATTTTTGTGAAATCTTCCCATTTTTCTGTATTTTTTCATATGGTTTCTGTGCTTTTCAAACTTCTTTTATTTTTCTTAGTTTTTTATCTTTTGATTATATGACTGCTATGATAGCAAACTGGTCCGGTCCAACTGGACCGGTGCTCTTACTGGTTCGGCCACCCATCTGCTCCTGACAAAATTGGATGGAAACTGAGAAATTTGCTTAGACCACCATAGATTTTAAATGTTGTTCATGAAATCTTGGGATTTGTCTCTGATCTGCGATGTTGCAAGGCATATATTCAACATATATGATGCACACAATCACACTCCTTAACTTAGTAAAATGTGACTATAGTCAGGGATTTGTCTCTGATCTGCTATGTTGCAAGGCATATATTCGACATATATGATGCACACAATCACACTCATTAACTGAGTAAAATGTGTCACTGACTATAGTCGTCTCTATTAACAAGAATTCATCTGATCGTGTATTATTTATCCCCCCTTCCCCCCCCCCCCCCCCCCCCCCCATCCTCCCAAAAAAAAAAGAAGAAGTCATCTAATCATATCTCTTATGTCTATAGATCATGATCTCATGTTTAATGGGATTGAGATCCCATGCTGAATGGGGTTCAGATCCCATAGAATCAGTAGTGAGGTCTCGATGATATCATCTTTGGGAACATGGAACTGTGTTCATGGAGTAGAGAAGGCACTCCCCATAATTATAGATTATATACGATGGTTATATATTTTAGGTCTTCTTAGTCTCCTGATGGTCCCTAAGTGAATTTATTTCCATAAAAAATATGAGCAAACATCTGCTAATGGGTCAATATTCATTGAAAATGCGGCCATTATGGTCAGAAAATGACTCCTAACCTCTCCAAGGTGTACTCTACAAATAGGAAATGGAACAAATGACTTTTTGGACTTATATGATAGGTTATAATGGTTCATTGGACGAAATAATCTTGGGGGTGAAACAAATTGAAAGGTATGTGATGATTTCAATGTTACTGCTTTTGTAAAACTAAGTTAAAATAAGTTCTAGCAATTAAAATTTGAGTTTCCGTTACATCTGTACCATTTGATGATTGGTTACTTGCTTCTTTGGGTCTCTTTGAGACAAGTCCTTAGGATATGCATTTGGAATGGTGGACTGTTTGAGAACAATATTAACTTGATTTTTCTTAGGTAATTTGTGGCGTGAATTATGGGAGAATGCCAAACCTTTGCCTGCTGTTAAGCAAACACCACTATTTGATGAGGATTTAGCAGTGTAAGTTGTGACTGTATGATACTTTATCTGGATATTATGTCTTTCTAGTGTTAAAATGAATTTTTTATGTGTAGAGAAAGCATTTTGAACTACTTGGAGGATGTTTCACCTTCGGAGATCTTCATACAGCTTTTTGTTGTTGTTGTAAGCATCTATTTTTTCTGGTACCTTTTCATTTTGCTACATTCAGAACAAAGAAATACATTATGTGCTTTGTTGATCACATTATTTTCATAGCTCTGTGTTACAGTTTTTTCCTTTGTTGTTTGTATTCTGAATCACCATGGATTCTCTCTTATGTCTGCCAAAACTGGTGTACTAACTTGAGAGAAGTTGCTGAAGTCACAAACATTGAGCAAATTTACACTCGAGAGTTTGAGTTGGAGAGTTTCGCAAAGTCAGATATGAAACTTCTTGTTGCTAGAGTAGATTCTAGAGCACACTACGGATGTTCGATGATAGCTCGCTGCTAGGAGATAGATTTTCACTTTGGGAACTTTGGTGATGGTTAAACTGCCGCTGACAGATATTGATCCTTCCAAGCTATGATGAACCGTATGGCTATGATATGTCTAGAACTCCAAATTTATGTGAATTTACATTGGATTTTGAAATATCTGATGAGCATATGACATCCTTATTGAAGCATTAAAGCATCATAGCTTCCAAGGAGCCCACATTCTCCCATAGTGCTTAGCCACTGCATATATGGAGCTTCTTTAGCATTCCAAATCAAAAGGGGATGATGCTAGAGCTGTAGGAATCCTACCTTGGACTATCCATGTTGTCTGACAAGTATTTATCGACTCCAGATCACATGGCCTTGCTTTTGTGTTATTCTTATGCCACATTAAAGATCTTAATCAAATTCTCTTATTACAAGCTTCAGAAAGGGGCCTCGCAATGTCATCTACATATTACGAACAGGGGACCACCATGGTTTTAAGACTTGGAAGTAGAGTGCCATTCCATGCAGTGATGTACCAAGCTGGCATTTGAATATCGAACCAGATCAAGTTATGAATTCCCAAAAAATAGGGTACATTTCTTGGAGAAAATACTGCTGAGAAACAGTAGCCAATTACTAATTTTTGTATCCACCAAACTAAGCGATGCCAGAACAACTATATCAGTAAGATGCGACTCATGACGTAGTCCCATGGGGTAGTGAAGTGGCTGCCACCTGGCATCCCATTGAAGGACACTCCATGTCATTCCCCAAGGCAAACCTAGCCCACAAGTTGCTTTCAACTTCATCAAAATATGTAATCAAAATAAAACAAATATTTATTCCTGGAGAAGCCCTTTGTTTAGAAGAAATTTTTATTTTGAGTCCTACAAATTAGCCAAACCAAACATATTATTGAGTTGATCAAAGTGGACAATAGAAATATTTTTATTTTTTTTTGGAAACCCTAAAAAAACTGTGGAATGATTTCATTTGAAGAGTGTGTATGCCATGTGAAGAGAAGTTCCTTTTCCACTAGGTACTCCTGTATGACACTCATAATCACATACCCTCAAACTAACCCAATGGACCCTTGAACCACAAGTCATTTTGCAAAAGGGTCTTGTGATTGGTCCATCAAAAAGTTAGCCAAGGAATAGATTATCGTTAGTTGTAGGTGTAATGCTGATCCCATATCTGGGGCTCAGACCTATAACTAGTCAATATAGAAGTCATGAATTTCGTGATGTGAATAATGATATTGTAGAAATTAAGGCCTTTGTCCTTATAAGCCCCAATCTTCACATAAAGGCCTATACAATTCCTGTAGATGAAAGATGAACCACTGCTGGAATCAAGTTACTTTGACGGGGTATCTGTGATGCCCACGCTGGTAGAGATGTATCTTGGGTAACAAAGACCAAACCAACTCAATGGTGCAGAGCCAACTTTGTAAGGAAAGATCCTAGATTGCAAAACCATGGCAAGATTCCCCGTGTGCACTAAGACACGTTGATGTCTTGCTCTTAATCGTATATAGCCTGTTTAAGATAACATGTCATAAACTGCTTTAAATCACACATTCCCAAATACTCCCACTGAAACTGGGAATATTGAAAGCCAGGAGTACTTAGAATATCTAGGTTAGATTAAAAACAAATCCACAAGTATCCTGACTACAAAGAAATCCATAAGCTATTGCCTTTTAAATGGTCACCAGTGTTCGAAAATTCTGCCACCCGCCTAGTTGGCCAATCACCTAAAATACCTAGGCGAACCTAGGCAGTTTCCGTCTAAGCTTCCGCCTAGGCGGGCAAGACGCTACAGTCAAGGCGGCTACCTAGGCGCCACCTCGATGCAGATTGCCGAGAGCGAAGGTTCCAATTCTAATTCAGCTCCCTTATTCGGCAATTTTGATAAGGAATCTTCACAAAACCCATTTTTGTAAAGATTGGAATCTTAATTATTTATATTAGGAATCTCGATTCCAACACTTGTAGAGTCTCGTTTCCATTATTTACTGATTCTTGGTTCCGCAATTGGCGAATCTCAATGCTGAGTTTGTTCAAACTGGATTCCACATATAATAATACTCGATTCGATTGATTTTAATCTGGATTCCTGAACAACAAGTACCACGTTTCGTAGATGCAAGAAACAACGAACTAATAAAACATCGAACTTTGCTTCCTCCCTCATGTAACCTTGATCTGTTATTTTCCTGAATTGTGATACCATGAAATCAAATACTAGTATCCTAGGTGCATAAATATGTCACTTATTAATTGGCTGAAATATTTATAGATTTTGATATGGGTTATTTGGAAACCGGAATTGGAGACGATTATCTTCCATAGTTCATTTGTGCTCCACAAGAATCTAATGAACACATAGCCGAAGTTTTGGTTCCATAAATCAACATTCAAATGCAAAAGTCTAGAGTGTCTCTATCTTTTGCGCACGTATCAAGCCGGCCTTCACCTAGACTTCATCACCCTTAGAGTGTCTCCATCATCTTCTATTGTCACTTAGAAGCTCCTCGCTGCAGCTAGAAGGGTGGAAAAGGATAAAATTGTAGCCCCCCCTTCCCCCCCCCGGCCCCCCCTTCTCTCTCTGAGCAATATTCCTATTAGTATGTAATGAAAATTGTGTATCGAAGGTATTATTTCTTTTATTCTTTAATTTCACGCAATATGCAATCTTCAGTTGTCATTTAATGTTGCAATACGTAATCTTCAACTAACATTTAATATCAAAATCTTTATAATCTCCTATGCATGTGTATTATTTTTTGATTCATACAATATGTAATCTCCTATAAACTTCTAAATCTGTCACTATCTATCCATGTGTTTGCTTGATGCTTGATTAAAAGGGGGTTACAAATCTTGATTGCTAGATGGGTAGAAACTCGAATTGAACCTCCTATGAATCTCGATTTAAATTTGGGTCGAATCTCGAATCCAAACTGGTTTTTTAATCTTGATTCGAAATGCTTAGGAATCTCAATCTCAAAGATCTCGGAATCTCGATCGATAAATGAAGGAATCGTTTCCAAATAGGTAAAAAACTCGATTCTACAGAGCTAGGAAACTCGATTCCATCTATATAGGGATCTCGATTCTATCTTGGTTGAATCTCGATTCCTATATAGCAAGAATCTTGTTTCCCATGATTCCTCTTGTATGGGTGTTGATTCTGAAGACATAAATCTTCTAGCCACCGCAATTCCGATTCCTAAAAAGATTTGGATTCGGAATCATTTCCAACAATTATGCTATACTACACCCTCAAATTTGGCATCAAACAATGTCAGATCATCAACAAATTTTGAAGTTAAGGGTAAGTGAGCAATTTGCTACTACTTTCGGGAGTTTCTCCGATTCACAAGGACTCCTTGGTTTTTTTCCACTTTTTCCATGCTCCACACACTATGGAACATACTCCCAAAATTGATTTCGCTATATCTTGGCCCCCCAACAACATCATAATGACCTGATTATTGGGGGATAACTTTGGGGTATATTGGATTAGATTTAGGTTCAATTTGAGGCCCATCTGCGTCCATTTTCATTTCTTTAACCATTTTATTATCCATCCGGTCATGAGATCTGGCTCATAACCGATCCCAGAGCTTATGGCTTTAATTCATGAGGTTCTCCATTACCAAATATGAGGATCCTCCAAATTTGGCCCCAAATTCTGTATTGGCAGCCTCTTCATTATCTTCTATATTTCCTACAGTTTTCTAGAGTGTATATAACCGGATTCCTGTTGGAGTAGACAACCTTGTGTCTTTGCAATCGGTGAGCTATCTCTGATTAGGAACCATCACCCATTGTACATTTTAAGGGTTTTTTGGATGAAGTGATGTTGGGAAACCAATCCCTAGGTTTTGAGTTGGTCTTCAAGTACAAGTTACCATGTGTGGCTCATGTGACGTAAAAAGACATCCAAACACTTGCTACTTGATAAGGAAATGAAGATGCATTTCTTTGTTCAAGTCCCCTAAGGTGCTGAAGGATCTCTAAAATATTAGAATCGTTAGTCTTAGTGGCTAAATGAGTAGTGGATGGCTGAGCCTTGTCCTTTTGATGGCCATGTTCTTGTAGTAGCTGCAGCAAAGTTTCTCTTGATTCTGACCCTTCTCTTGGATGGGATCCTGTGAGCTTTACCTTTTCCATGGATTTTCCCTATAATCATATTGCTATTTGCAGCCAAAGTAGGGTGCTCAACTATAATTGTGAGCTATAGTGAGGTTTTCATGAACCAATGTTTGTAGTAGATTTTACGGATGGCCTTAGTGCTAGGTTGGCAATGAGATCAATTACCTCCAATTCTTTTTTAGTTATGGATCTAACATGTAGAGCCATGAGGGATTATTTATTGCTTACCATGCGGAACCTTAGAGAGAGAACGTAGTATAGGATTTCATGTGGGGTGGAAAATTAATAAAGGAAGATATTATTAGGACACAACTGGTCATTGAACCAGTGAGAGCATTGGTCCTGTTAAACTAGTCAAACTACCGATTTAGCAGTGAGATCGGTTTCTAAAATGTAAATAAAAGAATATAAAAAAATGTCACAATGGTAACCGGTCCATATTGGCTTTTGATTGATTTGACCATTTGGCTATTCAAAGATTTGACTAGACTTGTTCCAGCTGTAGTTGCCTGTTTGGCCAACCAGTCTGCTCTGGTCTTAATGGTATGGAGAGAAGAAATTCCAGAGCAGGAGAAACTGTAAAAGTAGGGATGTATTATCTCTTTAAATGTGGTGTCTAAATGTCTATAATTGCATTGATGCTCTAGATGTGAAGGCTAGCTAAATTTCTGTCTTACGGTCATCCAATACGGAGTGATTGTGCAATGTGACCCTAATATCCTACGCATGCACTCCATCTTATACAACCACCTATCTCCTCTGCTTGTTAGCTCGATTCGCTGTGTTGAAAACCTTGGGAGAATCAATTGGTTGCAGTAATCTTGTGGAACTTCTTGAAGGCATAACTTTTCACCGAGATGTATGTTTAGGGTGATCTAAGGGTTAAATCAGGGATCTCTACGTGATCTATGAAGCATATCTCTGTGGGTTCTTTGTTATGCAGACATTTTGGACTTGAGCCCATTGTTGAAAACCTGTCTGAAAAATGAGTGATGAAAATTAGATTTCTTTATTTTCGTTATAGATTCCTTATTTTAATTGGATTTTCATTTAAGTTATTAGGTTTCTAGAATGTAAAAATTCCATCATATTTTGACTAGAAGCCTTCAAGTTGCATTGTTTCCTTGACTCTTTAGTATTTAGTTTTAGTGCTTTCTAGACGTCCAAGTATAGGGTAAATAGAGCTTGGGACTCTCTATAAATACCCATGTAGGCCTATGTCCAATTCATGTTCATCATGAGTAATGAAATTTGAAATTACATTTGTGGTGAGAGGCTACATTTCCAGGAGGATCTCGAGTTTTATTGTGTGGGAAGTGGCAATCTTTAGAGGAGGAATTCCTCAACTTGTTTTTGTAGGAGTGCAATCTTTAGAGGAGTAATTCCTCAACTTTTTTTTGTAGGAGTGATGCTACAACTCTAGCTTAAGATTCGTGCGGTGTCCCCAACAAATTAGAGCCTTCTTCTTTCCATTCTTGTGTAGTACATCTGCAAAGATTCTCCACAACTATATCTGTAACTCATTCAGAACCTTCCTTAATCCCTGGCTAAACCTTTTGAAACCGTAGGTAAACTAGCTCAAAATCACCCTAACCATATATATATATATATGCCCATGGTAGCCTTCAAACTCAAGTTTAAACCCTTGATTTTCCCGAATTCAATCTTGGAATCCATGGTAGCCTTCAAACTCAAGTTTAAACCCTTGATATTCCCGAATTAATCTTGGAATCCATGTCATCATCCTTCACCTTGCAGGACTTTTTAATTTGTAGCTAACTTCAACCACTGAAAACCTTTGTAGCTAACTTCAACTGCTGAAAACCTAAACGCTATCCTAAACCTTGCCCTAACCCAACAAAAACCATCTCCATAACCAAAACCTTAGTGATACTTTTATTAGACCTTGTATTATCTAATTCTACCCCAACTAGGAAACCTTTATGACACCCAAAATCCTAGTGTCCTTTTGAAATCCTAACCCAAACCTAGTTAAAAATTTCAATCTTACCAAAATCCTTTGTTTTGATGCCTGTCTTGTGTGTGACACTATGAGCCAAGCTCCGTTGATCCTATATCAGTTATGGTAATTAGAGCAAGTTATTCCTTGGGAACTTGCATTGATTTCCGCCATATCAACTTGAATGGGTTGTATATATGCCTCTCATCTATCTCTGAACAGGGGACAAGCTTCCAGTGCAAATGCTGGATTGAATGAACACCAAGTAATAAATTATATCAATGTGTTGTTTGGAGAAATGGCCAATATAAATAAGCTGTCAAGTAATCATAGTGGTGAAGGAAGGAAGCAAGAGATTGCTCCTCTAAAAGAGAACTCTATGCTGTTCCTCCTAAAGAAATAGTTGGTCAAGAAGGAGCTTTAAAGCCATCAATTTATTCACCAAGCTCTTGATCAAGCTTGTGAAAACATGGGTAGAAGTTGGCAACTGCTGGTTTCTTTGAAAGCCGCATGAGTTTAAATTACCTATAATTGATTTGGTAGATGATCTTATCTATGATGATTTTTTGGTGAAAGTTGTTCAACAAATGATGGGAATAATTAATCCCTCAACACAAGAAGTTGTAGACGTGACCCCCTTTTCTAAAGATAATGTTGAATGAATACAATAAGATTGAAACACCAGAGGAATTAGGTGTGTTTGTCCCAATTTCTCCATCGACATACATTGATGCTTCTCTTAAAGGGTTCTCATATGAGTTAGTATAATCATCTGATGCGGTACCATCCAAACATTTAAGAAACATGAAGAAATGGATGAAGATGACAATAGATTTAAAGGGGGAACCATGCAAGCTTGACTATAAAGCTCGAGGACGAGTTTTCTCCAATTGGGGGAGAATGATGCCGAGCGTTCTAAAGGCATGATTTTTCATTTGGATGTTTGTTTAGGGTGGTCCAAAACTTAAATTGAAGATATTTTTGAGATCCCCGACCCATATTGCTATGGATGTTTTGTAATTTGGAAGTTTCAGGCTGCAAATCGTTTTTGAAAGGCTGCTAGAAAATTTACCCACTGAATGATTTTTTTTTTTTGTGATAATTTTTTCCTTTTGATAATTTGGCTTTAATTTTATTGAAGTTATTGGGTTTCTAGGAAGTAAGATTTCAAGCTTATTCGGATTAAAAACCTATTAAGTTGCATAGTTTTCAATCTTATTCGGATTAAAAACCTATTAAGTTGCATAGTTTCTAGAATCTTTAAAAGTCTGTTTGTATGCTTTTAAGAGTCCAAGTATAGGACCATAATTAGAACTCTATAAAAATACCCATGTAGGCTTATGGCCAATTCTATATTCAATTTGAAAAGTAAAATTTGAGTTTTCAATCGTGGTGAGGAACAGCCTTTAGAGGAGGGATACCTCAACTCATGGAAGAGTTGCAACTCTAGTTTAACCTTAACATTGCGAGGGTATCCCCAACTTGTTAGAGCCTTCCTGTTTCTCTTTCTTTGTGATATATCCCCTCCTAAGATTGCCCAAAACAAATTTGTTACCCGTTTAAACCCTTCCATAAACTCTAGCCAAACCTCTCGAAACCCTTAGTAAACTAGTTCAAAAGCTACCTTAACCAGATACCAACCATCAGAGTCCTTCAATTTTAAGTTTAAATCCCAGCTTTTCCCTAATTCAGCTCTAGGAATCATTGGCTTCTTCCTATCTTGCTGACCTTCTAACCTGTAGCAAGCTTTAAACACTTTGGAAACCCTAAAACCTTTCCTGTCCTGAACCTTGTCTAACCCAACCAAACCCTTCTCCATAATCCTAACTCTAGTTTAGTTCAACTAGACCTTGCATTTCCGTTTTTACCCAAATTGGGAAATCTTTATCACTTCTGACATCCTACTCTCCTCATATTTATAGGATCCCTGAGCCCATCAGAACTCCCAATCCATACCTAATTAGAATTTCCAATCATTACTTAAAACTGTCTTTTTACATGCATGTCACATGCAACACTTGTGTAGGGGCCAACAAGTCCTTTTGGTTCCACATCAAGTAATGCACACTAATTCGTTGGTTGGTTTGGGGCATCCCCAAAATGTCTAAAATTGGTATTAGTGGTGCATTTTGTGTTTGATGATGAACATTTAGCAAATAGCTAGCACCATAGTAAAGCTCACCTTCCATAAGAAGCATTAACGCCCGTCACACATTATAACCAAAAGTATCATTGAATAATTTGAAATAGGTATATATTTTCATCATTTTATTGTGGCTCACACCTACCCCCTAAGCCAGAACTTGAATTTTGTTTTTTCTCTCAGAATTTGTTGCATTTTTTCTTTTCTATTTTCTTAAAATTTACTTGGCATCTTGGCATCCATGCTAATTCATGTGTATCCAATCATTAACATTTTCAGCTGAGCTCTGGTTTTGCAATTGGCGAATCGTTGCTGCCCATGAACAATGAATTGTGCAAGCTATTCAACGACTGCAAAGATTATGTCATTTCTACAGTCCCTGGTGAAATGAGTGGTGAGAAAATTGATGATCTCTATCAGGTACACAGTAAATTGGTATATGGAGCCCACTCATGGTGACCATTTTTTCTATTTTCTTTTTTACAGCTGTCAGTTATACCCTTAATAGTCTTTATAAATTGAAATTCTGGTTTTTGTTGATATTGGTGGTATTAATGTGTCTCTAAAGGTCTATGAAACTATGGAGGCCATTGTACTTCATCCAGATGATAGCTCAACTCTGAAGCAACTCTCTGAAGAAACCAATTCTGAAGGACTAAAGCGTCGGTTAGGCAAAATGGGATTGAACTTCACAGTAAAAAATCGGCACTTTTTTAGGAGGTCTGTTCCCCAGGAAGGGAAGTGTCCTGATGAGAAGACCACACGAGTATTTTCGCAGTTTCTTGAAGGGAAATCATCTTTGTTCACAAAGAAGCCCACAAAACCTAGTAATTCCGAGGCAGCACCATCACTGTGTACAGATGAGAGTGATTGGACCGTGATTTGAACCCATTGTGCATAACCTTCACTTTTTTGATGAAGCAAAATAACACTGTAAAGAAAAAGAAATCTGTACAGAATCTTGCTTGAGGAAATTCATGGCAGTGTTAATCATGCTCACTGTGGTGGTCATCCATCCATTATGTGTTTCAAGAGATCAAGTTTTTAGCTTGTCTTATTGAGGGCTTGAGGCTATTAAGCACACACTTAAGAAGCAAAATAAAATCTTATCCTTTGTAGCTTGTCATAAGCCTTATGCCACTTGCAGCTTTATGTAATGTACTGTTCTATCCATCAATGATATAAGAACTTATTGTGAAGGGCTTCGTAATTATATTTTAAGCCCAGGCATCTTTCCCGTTAGCCTTTACCACAAATTTGAGCACATTTATGGCTGTATCAAAATGCTTGTGTTTCTAGCCTGTTTGGATTTCTGCTGTGCTAACTAGTGAGGCTTTGTATCGAATTGACCTTGGGTTTATTTTGTTTTATTATATTACAATTTTGTGTTTATTTGATGTTTTCCACAGTGCTGCAAAGGCCTTCTCAGATTCCCTAGGGTAATCCATTGCATGGAGACAGACTTGAGCATCACACATAGGACTCAAGATCTTAGTTTTTATCATCCCTCTTCTTTTGAGCACAATGCATTAACAGAGATTTGATGGAGACGTAGCAAGTCACCTATCCCTTGGCATATTGAAATTGCTGAGCTTTGTGATTCATTGACTGTTGCCTTTTTCATTCAATTTTGCAAGGCTGCTGATTAGGGACTGCATTGGATGGATGACCTATGTGTCGATGAGGTAATTACATTCCTTCTCATACAGATTTTCCTCAACATCTCACCCCTTGCAGGTTTGTGTTTTTCTTGTGCTTTTTCTTTAGTATGATTTTTTTTTTTTAACGTATGATGTATTTTACCCAGTTCAATGAATTAAAAATCACTACCAAGTAAAAAGTAATACTACTTAGTTGCTAACCATTCCCCTTCTCTCATTTATATATCTTTCAAACAAATTACACAAGTTGAGTCACCCTCTTCTTGTGCAATGCCCCACTGGAGCCCAAAAATCAATGTCATCATCTCATTCAGCTCTTTTTCTTTGGGTAGTTTAATGGTGGGATTTAAACTTGGGAAATTGTGTTTCAATCATCAATTCTGATCTCTTTGAGCTCTTGCTACGACGTTTCTTCGATCTACTCTTGTTTGATGTCGTTTTGATAGTTTGTGAGGAGGTTGGTGCACTATTATCTTGGGATGATTCTTGTACAGGTGGGGGCGAGTCCTCTTGGGTTTGATTGGTATTGGCCTGGGGCATAACGAGGTTTGGCACCACAAAATTGGTTACCCAATAGAGAAACAGGAGGCCTGCACTGCAGTCACATAACCGACATTTTAAAATGGCTTTTGCTTAGATTTGGTCAGTATAAGCACTAAGTAAAGGCAAAAAAAAAATAGAGAAACAGGAGGTCTGCACTGTAGTCACATAACCGACATTTTAAAATGGCTTTTGCTTAGATTTGGTCAGTATAAGCACTAAGTAAAAGAAAAAAAAAAAAACGGAAAATATCTTTGTACACCCTCCTTTTAATTTCATTTTCAACTTACGGTTTGAAAACATAACTAGTGGTATAAATAGCCTATATAGTATATCTTCTAACCCTTTAGACCAATTTTATCTCTTCTGACAACAACTTTTTTGGCCAAACAAAATAAAAAAAGGCATCATTTTCTATTCTTTTTTAACTCCCCCACCTCCCCTCCCCCTCCCCCTCCCCCTCCCCCTCCCCTCTTTTAGTTTATTTCTTTCTTTTTTAAGTTTTGTTTTGAAGTTTTATTTAGTTTATTTCTTTCTTTTTTAAGTTTTGTTTTGAAGTTTTATTTTGTGAATGTTAGGCAAAATGAAACCGATGAACTAACTCAACTCATTCAACTTGGTATTTTAAAATACAAGAAGAGAGAGAGTGGGGGTTAAAAAAGAATATAAAAATATGTCTTTTTTATTTTTGTTTGGCTAAAAATGTATGATCAAAAGAGATAAAATTGGTCCAAGAGGTTATAAGATGGGTGCGGTTTGTATAGAGTCAAGGTTCTAAACAATCAAATGAGAACCCACCTTCAAATAGCATTGAGAAATATGTTTCAACATTGGAAATCTTTGTGATAGCTTAAAAAATATTTTTATCTTTAATTCTAAAATTTAAAGTTTAAAAAGTTGTGTAGATGGAGCAAATCTATGAAAACTTGAAAAACTTGAAAATTGACAGTCCAAAAATGCGTTTTGAGATGCACTATTTTCAAAACTTGAAATCCATTTTTTTTTTATGTTCATGCATCTTGATGTCGATCAATTTGAAAATATTTGGGTATCAAAACAACCCCTCCTAATGAATTTTTTGAGGTGGGCTCTAATTTGATAGTTTAGGGCCTTGGCTCTATATAAACTTTTCCCTTATAAGATATATTATGTAGGATCTCAATGCCACTTGATATGTTTTCAAATCCTGTTCAAAATGAAACTTGAAAAAAAGTGTGTATATTTTTCCAAAAAAAAATGGTTCCTTTTATTACCTTACAAAAGTTGTCATGAAGTTAAAAGTGTCTAGTAAACTATACCAAAGTTTTTGGGAAACAAGATTTTCATGGTTTTAACAGCCGTTATCACAGTCGACAGTAATGATCATTACAACAAAAGTCCAAATTATGGCAGATAATTGGACATAATGGTTGTATCCAATTATAGTGGCCGTTATATTGGGAACGGCTACTGACCAGTATCAGCGAATACCGGTTTTGATTCCGGGCTTTTACCATGCTTCATAAATTGCGAGCACTCGCAAGTTTTAATAGGACTTGATTTTCGGAAGAGTTCTTCCTCTCAACCAGACCTTGTATACAATGAACAGTTGAGATTACATAAAACATATGAACAATATGACGCATGTATCGTGATATAATTTGAAGAGGGCATCAGGAGATCACTTCAAAGATTTTGTTGCCGATAATTTACATTGAGAGTCAATCGGTGTTTAGGAAAACAAATATTGGGGTGAATCATCCACCCACTGATATTGTTTTTGGCTTTACTAAATCGTTGTTCTAAACAGGTCCAGCTATGAGGTAATATTAAAAATAAAAATAAATATATAATAAAATAAGCACTAGGAATTTTTGAACACTAGAGATGTATCTAGAAAAGCAAAATACAAATGAAAAAAAAATAGAAAAAGGTCTTATCTTTATCTTTTTTCTTTTTTTTTTTTTTTTTTTTGTTTCAAGGTTTGGCAGAGGGGAGAGCATAAAGCGCACCTGATCGTACTAATTGGTCGGAACCAGACCAGTCCTGGCCAATTCCGAATGCAGATCGAATGTTCCGAATCTGTAACGCATTTTTGGAAATGCCACCATCAACTAAGTATCCGTTGGGCCCTTGAAGAAGTGAGAAACAAATTAATTCTCCAAATTTTAATACCCCTCCCTTTATTCCCGGAAAATTATTTGAGTTCACTTTTTATTTTCTTTGCATGATCAGCTAATTATAAGCGTGTTTGACTAACATGAGTGTGTAGTGGGAAAATTGTAGTTGTAGAGTAATGATTTGCTAGGTGGTCCTTTAATTCATTGTAAACTGGGCAAAAACAATAAAAACAAAAGAACTAGGATAAATGGGAATCATTTAATAAGCAGGAAGGAGAGCAGACCTAGAAAATTGCAAATACCCCCCAAACCCAACTTGGAGTTTCTCGACAATGTCCCCCAACCAATCTTTTTCTCACAAGTTTTACCCCAAAGTAAAGTTTCTAGCAAATACCCCTTCATAAAAAAGTCATTAGTTTTTTAACAAAAATGCCTTTGTCCGTAACATCACATCCCTATAAGATGCTCAACGATTCGAAAGAATGTCGGATCAAGTCCACAAAGTGCTGGACCGAGAGGGGACATTGCCGGACGGCACTTTGGCCCTATTGTCAGACCACATGGGCCTGTTGCCGGACCGCATGGGCATATTGTAGGACCGCATGGGTATATTGCAGGACCGCATGGGTCTGTTGCCGGACCGCATGGGCCTGTTACCAAAGTGCTTTTTGGCAATATCGAATCGATTGGGCCTATTGCCGAACCGTTCTTTGATAGTGCCGAAAAACTTGTTTATACTGCCGGACCGCCTTTTTTAGTATTAACGAAAAAGTCAAGTAGTCATTGTTAGAAGAGAGAGGGCATTTTAATCCTAAAAGCTATAATTTTTTGACCGGGATATTTACTAGAAAAATTTATTTTGGGTAGGAATTACCTAAAAAAAAACGTTCTTTTGGGTACGTAAGTGACGAGAAAAAGTTATGTATTAAGCATGAATGGATAGAAATTCCAGGTTGAGAGCCATTGGTGAGAGAGCAAACAGCAGTAAGGTCATTAAGTACATCCAGTGAGAGAGATACCCATCAGAAATAATGTATACGACACGGTTTCTTTTAGTCCATGTAGAAATGAGCCACCTCTTAAAAATTTATTTTTGATGAGATGTATTTTTGGACTTAATTTTTTAAGACATGTAATCTCTAACATAGAGATCATTAATATGAAAAATTAAATAAATTTGGAAAATTATAACATCCACTAATGTATTTTCAAAAATAGGAAAGTATAGCATCCACGTCATGTGGATATTTGAGGGATATATATGTACCTTTTCAATGGCCTAGATTAGGGCAAGCAATGGACCTGGCCAGCCCGGCCCTTGGGCCATAGTTTGTGGCCGATGCCCTAGTCTTTGGGGACTGGGGCACGTAGGCCATTACCACCCCTAGTCCAGGTTGAATATTGGCCAATCCGAGGGCTAAATATCTATATGTTTTATATTTTTTAATACATTCAAGTCACATGAAAATTGGGAAGTACATGACTATATATAAGCTCAAAATAAAAATAATAATAATAATAATAATAATGCAGCAACAATAACAATAATAATAATAATAAAAGAACAACAACAACAATAAAATGATGATCAAAATATCCCAAAAACTCTTCAAAGATATTTTGGGAAATTTTTCGAATTCTTATTTTTTATTTTTTTGGGCATACCCTATAAATATGTATGGATGCCCAAGTTCTCTTTTAAGCGTAATGTGTGAAAATAATAAAAATCAAATCGAATTTGTAGCCTTAGAATTGGCTCAAGCTTGATCTAAACCCTGTTCACCTTCAAGAGAGTCTACATCTATATCACCACTTTCAAAATACAATAAAAAAAGGTTATTTTTTTCTTTGTTGTTTTTGGGTAGATCAACGGGGATTACAGGCCCCTACCGTTTTGTAAATAATAATAATAAAAAAAAGTATTAGTAAGAATGGAGGGCATAACTTTTAATAAAGCTGAGGTGATACTCTACCAACACGGCACAAACTCAAACTACTCGAACTGACAAAAGTAAAAATATATTAATAACAATAGTGGTATTACCTAAGTGGGATGAAGGTCGAGTAATCCCCTGTTGAGGCCGGAGAGTTGCGAGAGAGGACGAAAAGCGCATTCAGTGGTTGAGCAGTGGGAATATGGCGAGGGAGCCTCCTAGAAGAAAGGATTATAGAGAGAGAATGATATGCAGAAGGAGGAGGAGAAAGGATTGTTGATGTAGAATGGTGTTCAGTGGATGAGAGCCTTGTTGAGGTAGGGATTACAGAGTGAGGGGTTACAAAAGCGGGGGTAGGGTAGAGAGCGAAATTAGGGTTTTGGAGTGTGAGGCATCTCATGATGTTCAGTGGATCTCGGAATGGGGGAAATACATGTTTTTGTAGTGGAACCACCTTTTCTCGGTTTCAATGGATAATGAGGCTGTGGCTCTCCTGTTTCTTACCTGATGAGCGTGTATAGCATGTGCTTGTGCGAGCATACTGTACAAGAACTCCTTCAGGCAAAATAGCTGCCTAGAAGGACTTATTTTATGGAAAATTGTTTCGTGTGGGCTGGACCGCATTTCGACATATGCTGTCAAGAAAGCGTAAAGCATCCATCTCGTGTTTCAGCCAAAAATAATAGAAACTAGCGGTCCAAATACTTTCTTACTAAAATTATTATTTTTAGTTTTAAAATATTTATTTATTTTTTCATATTCATTATCTCTATATTTGAGATTACATGTCTTTAAAAATTAAGTCTTAAAATACATATTAAAATAGATTTATTAAGATGCCTGCATTTCTACATATGCGGGCTTCGCCGCATCCTTCTTTTATTGGAAGTTTTGAGATCCAAGTATGACTAGGTTTTTTTTTTAAGAAAAAGGATTTGTTTTTGAGTTTTTGAATATCTAGATCCTTTTCAAAATTGGATGGTTGTTGTTCAGTATTGGGATGTCGATTTATTTCTTTAGTCACATAGATAGTGGGAATTAGCTTTTTTTTCATTTTTTTGGGGAAAAATTACTTGTGTGAAAGGGATTCAACATATTTATTATGTAATGGATCAGTATTTTGCAATAATTATGTTGAGACAACTCCGGACCCGTGGCCTATTTTATTTAGCTTTTTCTTCTTTTTTTTTTAGAATAGTCACCTATCGGATAATTCCAACACTGTAAGTGTGAAAAATGTTGCAAGTTTCCTGCCATCTCTATGAGTAAGGGCTGGTCCAGTGCTACCAAAACCGTACATATACGCTTTCAGTATTTGGAATATTAAACAGCCCAACTTCTTAAGCTATCTAGGATAAGGAAAATGAGGCCTATTATAAGTTATTATTATTATTTAAATTCTTAATAAAATTTATATGATGTAATTAATTTTATTTATTATTATTTGTATTTGAATGTATTTTATTTTTCATTATTTTCTTTTATGTAAATTTTACTTTATTATTTCAAATTTTCTATTTCTAAATTTCTATTTTATTTTTTTAATCTATTTTAAATTTTTATTCTACTATTCTATCATTATATATATATATGTGTGTGTGTGTTGGGGGGGATTATATACAATGAGACTATTTACCTTTAGTATAAGGAGGTCACAATTACCTATAAATGTCACAAAGTTCGAGAAATTTGTTTTGAACTTTGAGCTTGGTGAATGAAATGAATATAGCCACCAGCTTCACATCCAATGGTTAGGATTTAATTGTGAGCACATTGTACCAAAAGTAAATAGTCTCATTATATATTTTTCAAAAGTAAATGGCCTCATTATATACATTCTTACTTTCCCTATTAAATATTTCATAATAAAAAGTACTCTATTATGCTAAATTCTATTTCAAGATATTTTATTGAGAAAACACAATCAAATACAATTACAAATAACTAAAATAAGTAATAAACAAAATTGATTATATTACATAAATTCTATTATACTAATTAAATAGTAAAAATTTAAATAATAATGATAAAAATAACTTATAATAGGTTTGGTATTTCTTATGCCGAACATCTTAAGAAGTTAGGTTGCCCAACATTAGAAACACCAAACAATATGCTGCTCGGTGTTGCAAATATCGAACAGGCCCTAAGTAAGAGATATTGTTTATAAGTTGAGTTGTTTGGTATGCCAAACACTAAACAATGTGTATGTTTGGTGTCGGTAGTATGACACATGCCCTTATTACTAGAGATGGCCCAAAACTTATGGATTTCCTATCTGTCAGTGTTCGAAATGTTGGACAGGTCGGCAATTCTCCAAAAAAAAGAATAAATGAAAAGAGTTGCGGGTGGGGGATAGTCCCCACATAAATTTTCCCAAAATATGACCCATACCGTAATAAACGCGATGATTGGTTTTTTTTTCTTGGAGGTTAGTCATTGAGTTTTACATATTACACACCCAAAATTTGAGATCTGAAAACTATTCCTAGCCTTAATTTTGCTCGAGCGGGCACATGAAATCTTTTTCACATGACCTCTCTATATGTACATGCTGCAGGAGTAAATACCATGCAAAATGACGTATGATATATGGCATACAAATCAGACATAGACAGTTAGTTTTGACAAATCGATGGTGGAGAAGAGACACGTCTTAATATCCCGTCACTAGGAACTGTGATCCGCTTTTACCATTTGTTTTAGGGGAATGAATGGTGGAAGATTTATTCATACCACATATATTGCACGTCAATGCTACATTTTGTAGTTTCCTTGTAAATAGGATATGCTTCCTTCATTTGTTACTGAAACATGTGGTACGTACCCTCTAGATTTGGGAATGATACCCTCTAAAAAAAAAAGAGCCTAGGCTTAAGTGGTTAGCGTTTGATGATATGCAATGCTATATCCTAGACTCAATTCCTATCAAGAGTAAAAGCTTTCTCCCCTCTGGCTCACCGACCAGAAAACATTTATTACAAAAAAAAAAAAACAAAAAAAGAATGAGACACATTTACTCAGAAAAAAAAAACAAAAAAAAAATGAAACCCCTAGAAAGTACTTTCCCTAATTTCCAGTCATGCTACCCTCTAGATTATGAAAATAGTTTATTCTCTCATTAATCTCTCCAATCCTTAGCATTCACATACCCAAGTCTCATGTGTCACAAAAACAAACATTATGAGTTCAGCCTTGGAGAAACAAACTTTTTGTAGCTTTATCACTTATAATAAGATCACCATTGGATAAATGTCATAATAAGATCACCGATGGTCTAGGAAATGTCCTAAAAAGATCACCATTGGATGGCCTAGGACAGAGACGGGGTTTTTTTCATCTCTAGAGAGCACAACGTATCCTTGAATGCCATAAGCTTCTTGTTATGAAGATTTAGTTGGATTATGTGTGTTGCACGTAAGAATGGAATCATCAATCACGATTTTCTTATATATATCTATGGGCCTTTTTGAATCACCTCATAATCCATCAATATGCTATCTATGTACCTTTTGAATCACCTCACAATTCATCCAAATGTTATGCATATTCTATGAAAAGGCGGCAATTCTATTTCAACTAACAATATTATATTATTTTGCTACTAACCTCCTATAACCTAAATGAAAATCAGCAATACTATTCAAACAACTTTGTAATAATCAACACCATATGCCAAATAATTTGTCAGTGTTCTTCTATCAAAACGCACATCTGATATGAAAGACAAACAAATCATACGAATAACGAAAAGGCATATAATTATACTAACTATAAGAGATAATGAGAGATGAGTGACCCAAAAAGAAGCCTATTGACTACAGATTATATTTGTGGGAATGGATAAGAAACTACTTCATAATCTGTAGGAATGGATAAGAAACTACTTCTAAAGCATAAAAATGGCTTAATACTCTCGAAAAGGGGCAATGTGTAAACCAAGGTTTAAAGCATTAAAAATAACAAATTTTATAAATGTAAGTTTTTACTTTTGTAATAGATAAAACATAAAACTTTATACTTAAAACTTCTAAATTATTCAAAAATCCAAGAAAATAGAATTCAGTCCCTCTTTTTTCTTTTTCTTTTTTTTTTTTTGTGTGTAGAATGTATTTCATTTATTGTGATTTTAGAAAGCATAGCAACACAAACAGCCTTACCGTTTAAAAAAATTAAAATTACTAAGTTTTAAAAATATAGCTATTATTTAAAAGTGCTGATAAAAAACTATTTCTTGTGAAATGAAAAATTAATGTTGATAACATTAAAAATTCTTTAAAAGATTTATTATGAATGAAATTAATAATCACATCAAGTTATAATTTGTATTCAAAATAATTTTAGTTTTTTAGTGATGAGCCTTATATCAAAGACAATGTTATTTATGTAAAGGAAAACGTTTGTATAGAGCCGAGGCTCTAGACAATCAAATTAGGCCCACCTCAAAATTTCACTAGAAGATATTGTTTTGATGCCTAAATATCCTCAAATTGATCATCTCGACATCAAGATGCATGGACATTAAAAAAAAAATGGATTTTAAGTTTTTGAAATATTGCATCTTATAACGTAGTTTTGGACCATCAATTTTCGAGAATTTCACGTTTTCATAGATCTACTCGATCTACACTATTTTTTAAGCTTTAAATTTTATAATTAAAGATGAAAATATATTTTATGGCTATCAAAAAAAATTACCATTGTTGAAACCACATTTCTCGACAATATTTGAAGATGCACTTTACTTTTGATTGTTTAGAGCATCGGCTCTATACAAACCGTACACTTATGTAAAACTTTTAAAATCTATGATAAATAGCTTAAAATGTATAATTAAACCATAATATAGGGTGTAAATAACAAATTATTAAGGTAATATCCAGCAATCACACTTATAACTATTCATGATTATCAATATTATTAAAAACTCAATTCAAAAAATAAAAAAAGATGAACAATAACATATGCTAAGCATGGAGTTGGAACTTACCTTGTTGTCTTCTTGCTCAATTTCCCATATATGGTCAATATCTACGATAAGTTGAATACCAGTCATCAATAAAAAAACCAAAAAACAAAAAAAAATTATAATTTACAAAACCATTAACAATAATGGATGAAGGACAAAAATAAACAAAGCAAAAAAAAAGAAGAGAAAGAAGAATACGGGATAAGAAGTATATGGTACGAATATGTGCATTTTCTTAAACCCTATGTCTAATATTTTAGAATGTATTTAGTTCCATATATGACCTACGACCTAGCAATAGCAAACACTTACTTTAAAAAGTGTGACAAATATTTAATATTCTATAAAAATGGACCACATAAAAACTAGATAGACATCTTTCTAATTAAGAAGGTAGATCGACCATCATGTAAAGATTACAAGGTTATCCCCGGAGAGAGTTTGACTACCCAACATAGGCTCGTAGTCATGGACGTCTGCATAAAGA